AATGAATCATCAACAATGTCAGCCCAAGTCTGGTGAATAGCCGCATGCCAGTGAGTATAGTCCTCTTGCAAACTAACTGGGCGTGGAGCCAAGCAAACAGGTAGCCCTTCTCGGTGGTCAACAAACCACGTAAGGATCCTCCCAGTGCGCTGTTCACCTTCCCATGCAAATGCTTGAGCCTCCCAGATGAGTTGAAGCGCTTGAACAAACTCATCCTGCAGCAGCAAGACAGATCGGGAGGCAGGCCCATAGATAGCTTCATCAACTTCCTCTGCAGGACAATCAATCGGCACCAAGTCCATGTCTTCACTAACCTGTGACGGACGACCTCTGCGACTAATTTGCCGCTGCATGAGGTGTATAGTGTCCATCTCCTCGAAGCTCCTCGTTCCGTCCCAAGGGAGACGGGGTATGGGAATGGTCGGAAGGTCGCTCCGAATCTGCATGAGGAAAGCCACATCTTCAAAATGGGCTCCTGGAGCATGGGGAAGTTGCTGTGCAGACGGTGGTGACCCTATTCGGATGCGCAAGTTGAATCCGTTGATCAGCTCAACTGGGACAACGAGCTGCACATTGTTGAGCCCAGCTTTGATGTCACATCGGCGGCCCTCACAGACGGGCCCCAAGTGCATATCATCAATGATCTGATCCTTTCTCGCAAACCTAGGCAATGAGGCGGCTTGTTGTTCAAACGCATCTCTGGTGGGCCCTTCATACAGTGTGGTCACAACTCCTGCACACAGCCCTGGAGGCCTGGCTTGCTCCAAAATTACATGGCAAGCATAGTTCTCAAAACGCGATTGTGGTGGACGAGGCTGTACCAAATGGATAGAGAATGGGCGCCCTTGATCCAGTTGGTCACGCCAAATGAATCGGAGCTCTTCAATCCAGGTAAATGTCGATCCATCCAATCTTATTGGTCGTGGATGCCAGCATCTGAGCTTGCTTTCATGATGAATGAACCATGTTTGGACATACATGTAGGCCTCACCATCAATGGTTTCTTGCTCAGCATATTGCGTAAACAGTGCACCCAATTGATACCACCAGGCAAATTCTCCATCATGACGAGGTCGCAATCTGGGAGCTCTCGTGCCTGGAGCATAGAAGATGGGTACTCCAGGGTCTTCAACATTCTCACATGGCTTGCACTGCCTCAACCGAGGCATCTCCCGCTCTTCAGCTTCGTGATTGGCATCACCAGATTGACCTTGCAAGAGGTCATGGGCAATTCGTCCCGCAAGAGGGAAGTCAAAAAGGTCGCCAGCTTCTTGGGCCATTCTGATAGCCAGGCTTGGTTCCCAATCTTTGCGCAAAGGCGGAGGGAGCTGGATCCGGATGTATGTGCCATGGTCAACATCACGTAATCGCCCGTCTGCGAAGTGCCATATGTGTCCATTGCAGTGGACAACACACTGATCATCCATCCACTGGCAGTAAGCATCGACTCCAGCGGTGCGAAGGATGTGAGGCCTGGCGACTTGTGGTAGGACTTTGTACACCTTGCGATTGATGGTAGGCGCCTCAGGGATGCCCGCTGCATGTCTATTGACGTGCATCACAACGTCGATGACAATGAGCTTTTCATTGGAACCAACTCGCAGGTCGTTGACATGTTGAAGGATGATAGCTTCCTCTGTAAGGGCTTGCCCCACCCGTGGAACTTGCGTGTAGTGGTAGCCGACAAATTGATTGGCCGGCAATCCAACTAGTTGGGCTGCTTCACGTAGAACCACATGGTAGCTTCGCCAATCAACATGGCCAAACACCGTGGGATGACCAAGTCGCATGACATGCAAAGCCTGGTCATCAACACGTCCTGACTCTGAATTGGATGATGATGGAGGATCGTCTTCATGATGAGGAGAAGATGGGCTCTGTTCAACATCCATATCTTCATCATCAAGTTGTTCATCGGCATTGGTCTGATTTCCCTGTTGATTTCCTGTCTCATTCCCTTGTTCAGCTGCTCTGTCACGGCCTTGCAGTGTAAAGGTGTCACCATCAGTCATTGCATGCACCGGGTTGGCATCAAAAGGGATCAGAGTTCTACCCTGCTTGATGGTACACGTCCTCCAATGGCATTCATGGAGGGCATGAGCACTGGTAGCAATTTGGCGTCCACTAACAAACTGCGGCAATGTGGACGCAAGTGCATATTGAACTCGACAGCTTCGATCATTGGGTTGAAGGACCGAAATCAGCCCCGCAAAATTGGGGGCATGTAGACCTTGCACCACAAGTAGGTCCATGATGAATTCGTGGGTGGCCGACTGTCTTGGAGGGTTCGGGCGGCAAATGAAAAACGCAACTTCTTCATCCGCAAAGACCTGATCTTGCCATCCACCAACGATATCTCTGTGCCAAAAACGCCAATGTCCATTCAGCTCAATCACACGTGGATGGAACCATTGGGGTGCATGAACATGATGGAGATACCATGTCCTCAAAAAGACTTGCTCTTCCAGGCGCTGTCCATCTAATAGCTCTTCGTCCAGAAAAAATTGAAAAAGGTTCTGGATGTATTGGGAGGCTTCGTGTAGAAAGAAACCTGCATCTTGAGCATCGTCTCCATGTCCATGCGCCGGCGCAGTCTGATCTTGGTGTTGGTTGCCCCAATTTGATGGGACATTGTAGTACTCATCAAATGTGCGGTACCGTGCCTCTTGGCCATCTGCTGTCTGATGTCGCCCTGTTGGTGGCTTTGAACTTCGCAAAGTCCACGGCTTGTCAGTCCAGGAGGCAAATGCATTCACTGGGACAAATGTCCGATTCAATTCACTGCCAAAATGGCAGATAGCAACCTCAACCTCATGAGCAAAAGAAACCCTGGCTTTCCCATCATCAGGGCCTTTTCCATGAACTAGGCCAACATCGCCAGCCTGGTAAAGTGAAGTGCCGAGCTCCGCCGCAAGATGAAAGGCATCCTCTGCAGCTTGCCACTCACTGACAAAGATATCCTCAAAACAAATTGAATGTGTCCATTTCTGCACATTCATAGGCACGACATGCCCTAGGCAAGGGTACTCATCGGTCACGTCTTGCCGGGCGCTGGAAAATGCGACTCCCTGACTGGAAATGGTTGCAACGCATTGCCAGAGGAAGGTTTGGAATCGTCGTGCATTTCGTCTTCTCCTGCATCTACTCTTTGTCGTTTGGCTGCTTGCTGTTGCTGCTCTTGAGCAACCATGGCCTCTGCCTGCTGGCTGAGACTGACAAGATTGGCTGCCATCGTGTTGAGCCCCTCTTGCAAAACTCTGCCTGAGTTTTCTTCTTTGTTTTCTTTGGCCGCCTCCGTCTCTTTCTCCACCACCATGCAGTCCAACTCGGCCTCGCTGCCCAGCGTGTGTTGGCTCGCATTGAAGGACTTCCTGGCTGTCGCAAGGGCAGCTTTGCACTGCTCGATGGTGGCGAGGTACTCTTGCTCCTCCTTTTGGAAGTCGCTCGTGTACTCTTGCCATCTTTTCACTGCTGCCGTCAGAAAATCCTTCCACCGAACATGTAGCTGGTGATGCCCAAGTCGAGCTTGGTCTAATGCCTCCCTTGCAGTACCCAAATCGGTGGCTGCTGTCAACAGATCGTCGGCTGCTTTCAGGCCCACCTGTAACTGCTCTTCTTGCATCATAGTCTGCATCTCTGGAGTAAGGTTGTCCTGTACTGCAGCAGGTTGTTTCTTCATCTCCGCAATCCAGTTCTGAATTTTCACTTCGGCCGGTGTCAATGGCGGTGGAGTTGATGGTGGGGGCAGCGGTGCAAGGGTCGCTGCTGGCTGTGTCCCTCTCCACGGGGGTTCTGGTGGCAAAGCTCGCGGCACTCCATGGGTGTAGCCTGGAGAAGCGGCCTGTTCTTCGCCAGGTCGATTTTTCAAGGCTCCCTTGCCTTTCCCTTTGCCTCCTTTGCCCTTGCCTTTCTGCTTCCCCTTGCCCTTCGTTCTGGGTGATTTGGGCCTTTGGTTCCATGCTCGACGTGGACTTTTGGAGCTGCGAGGGCTCTTGCCTGCATCCTCCTCTTGCCAGTAGTTCCAATCCTCTCCATAGGATTGGTCCTGCTTGGTCTTGTTCTTCACCTTCTGCGGGACATAGTTCAAATCCGCATCGCTCCATGCTGCTCCACAATGGCTGCAATGGTTTGCCGATGCTTTGCATACTGTCATGCAATGACCGCATCTCCACTCGCTCCAATTGTCCGCCATCTTGTTGCTGATGTGGCGAAGGAACCCTGGATCGCTGGAATGATGTTTGCTGAGAGTCTTGTAGAGTCTGCGGAGTTCCAGACGGGAGAGTGACAATAGCCCCTTTTGAAAGAGATGCCAAGTCAATCTTGCCTTCGCCCTTTTCCGCCTCAACGCTCTCCTCAATGACGAATTGATGGTGCCCAATGACAAAATGGATCACAAAAACCAAATCAAAGAGAAAACGCATACGATGCCAAACACAAACTCAAAGAGGATGGTGAAGGCAAATTCCAAAATGTCAAAGATGTGCACCAAGAACCGGTGATAGCAGCTTGCACAGAGCTGCCAGAGCACTGAAAGGCACAGCAAGCCGCAGCGCAACCACAGCGCAAACAACAGCCGCAATGCCCGTGGGGTTCACCGGCAACCCCACTAAGGTTCAAAATCACACAGCAATACCGGGGGGCACCCTGCGACACGCTGTTAGTCACTTGATCCGAACCTTTGAATCAAAACCACCAAAAAAAAAAACGCCAACACTTCTTTCCCGCCTATTTTGGGGAGGTCACTACAATTTGCTCAGACCAAGGATCAAATAAACACCTAGCAGCTACTAGCAGCACAAGCATCAATGAGAAGTCAAGAATCTTACTGGTCCCCCATCAATTCAAATCGATTTGACTCATGTTAAATCAATCTAATGTGGTTTTTAAATGGTTTTACCCAATCATCATCACCAAAATCCTCAAAACCGGGTGCTTTCCCAACCAGCACCAAAAAATCCTAGAAGTTTATGGCCTTGGTCCCGGGTTGTATCAACTTTCTCCTCTCGTAGAGGTCTTCAATTCTCTGAGGTGGGACCTCAAGGCAAAAAGTGATCAGCGCCAAAAAATCGGCAATTCCGCGAGATTTTGTAGGGATTTAATGGAGATGTTAGGGGAATTGTGTCAGAATTTAAGGGAATTTAATGGAGATTTTATGGGGATTTATATCATGGAGATTGTATGAGATTTTATGCTGATTTTATGGTGACTTAATGGAGACTTAATGGAGATTTAGTGGGGATTTAATTGGATTTAATTGGATTGTATGGTATTTTATGGGGATTTAATGGGATATATACGCTATACTCTCTGATAATCTAACACTTTTGCTATTGAACATGGCCATCTTTTAGCAAGTTGATTCGGCCAGTAAAAAGGAGTGATTTTAGCTATATTACCGGTCGTTTACAAAAGGCTTATTGACCAACAGCAACCACTAAGAAAGCGTTAACCAGTTGTTAATCTCCGTCATAGGTCAGTAGCAGGGGCATGACGTACAAATGCATTTTGGTTAAGACATGTTAAAATAACGATGGTAATGCGAGGTCGTTGTGAGGAAGTGAAATATCATGTTATATCCCAAACATCTGCAACCAAGGTGCCCAGGGCCCCTTGCGACCATCCGCCATGGCAATGGCTGGGAGAACGAGCTTTGTGCTGCTATGGATGATCATGACATGGAGCACTGCCGCTGGGGGTGGTCCATGAATACAGCATCCTTCATGATAAAACCCTCTGGTAATTTGTTATATAGCTATTGAAGTCATGGCCGATAGAAATAGTTGATTTACCGAACTTAAAGATTGTGATTTCCATAGCATTCCATAGCTATGTTTGTTTTTTGGCACTAACCACTATTAACCACTATTAATATACATATATATATATATGTATTATATATACACTAGTTGTAATCCGTTTGAATAATTTACCGGAGGGTAATGAACACAACACAAATTCAAACGGATTGGATACCCAGGATCGGTCGCGGGACACGAGTTGCCATGGCGAGTTGCGTTATCAACCACTTAGTGAGTGGGATGTACATCCAAGTAGGGACCCTTCTACCCTTCTTGCGTCCTTGTGTCCTGAGAGGGTTTCATGCACCATGATCCAAGTGATGCAAGTGATCCAAGTTCTGGACTGCGAAAAATCACAGCGGATGGAGAGTTATTGAATTGGAGAATCCCTAAAGATCCCTAAAGTATTTAGATGAATGGTAAATGGCAAGGTAGTTTTGGGACATCATGAAACATCAGCCAATGATATTTGGCCTTAGAAACCCACTAGACTGGGTCAACTGCTGGAATTCTGCAGGCTTTTTCACCGGCAAGGCTAGCTGACAGAGGGCATGCATATTGTTTTGTTGTCTATATATGAAAGGTCAAAACATATTCAAGTGATAGAATTGTACCCGTCAACCAACATGGAGTAGTATATATATATATATATATGTATAATTATAGATATATAAATATCTGTGTGTGTGTGCGTGCGCGATATTTATTACTGAGATATTATCTGTGCTCATGGTTTCGACGATTTACAGATTGGCGATGTCAAATTATTTGAGATCATCTACTGTACTCCAAGGCGGTTTCTATTCATACGTGTGATACTTCATTGTTCAGAGGTGGTTTTGTTGAACGTTGCCATATTCCAGAATAGTAAGCATGACCATTAGTCATATGGACATGTCTGCGGTCTCATATGTGCCTCAATGATGCATGTTTCCTGTTCCAATTCTCATCAAGATGACAACGATGAACGGACCGTAAAGCACCAGGCAGTTTCGGTCACAACCCCATCTTCGCGGGAGGTTGTGCCTCCTACCCCAACCCTAGGCATCCCCAGCCTCCACTGACATGGCTCTGGGGCAACTGCATCAAGGAGAAGTTATTTTTCCAGTGGGTTGACATATTGCCTAGTGCCCCACTTGTAAATATGTCAAATATATAATTACTGGGCAATGTGTTGGTACTCTTGGTGATGACACTACCGACAACTGGTACTTGGGGCTGAAGTGTATGACAAGCAGTCAGCCATTTCCAGTGTTTTGTGAGTCTGTGAGTGCTATCGGGCACATCAGCCTTGCCATGTTTTCACTGTTCATGTGCCTAGTGGAGACATCGCAACATGGCTCAAACATAGAACTGCTGCCGCCTTGCAACATGTACAGCTGAGATCTGACTTATAGAATGCAGTGCCTGTAGTGCCTTTAAGTTGTGTCTTAAATGCAGATGTCAGCATCCGCGGCATCTTTCATGGCCTCTATATCTGAGCCCAAGCTTTTTCGACCAAAAGACCATGGTCCTTTTGGGCGATCCAGCAAAAATCAGAATCTTCATCGTCAATGCCTTCATCCTTCATGTTACGCCTTGATTGAAAACGTGACAACATCCGTCATGTTCGGCCCATGGTGTGTTCATGTTTATGTTTGGCCAGTAGATCTTTCACCCTCTCACCAATGGTTGTTTCCAGTCCTCAATTTGTCAATGGCCGATGTGGGCCTTTTTTCCCATAACACGTCCATAGCCTATGTTTGGATGAACACCTATCCGATAATGTCCGACAACAACAATGCAGTTCAAGGCAGGGGGCCACAAACAAAACACATTGAAACATGCATGACCAATCTCTAACCAACTTCAAAACCAATGTTTGCCCTGTTATCCGTCTTGCAATTTTCATTTGTCCACCGAAAAAAAAAAAACCAACAACAACTCAGGTTGTTGCCTGCTTCTTATTCACCATCCCAAGCTACGCCAACATACCCCCAACGATGGCTTAAGTGGAATTAAATACACAATACACTTACACGATCCTTGAATAAATATCGTCTCCAACGGGATCCCCATGTTTAACTCATTGTCAGATTTTGGCAGCGCTGCAGTGTTTTGTCCGCCCCTTGTTCAGGCTGGTGAAGGACCTGCAGAAAACATGTGGGAAACCGGCCATAAACCTACTATGACTGGGGATGGTTGGGAACGCATCCATAAAGTTGCTGGTTTTGGGGGATGGCTCATGAAATTGGATTGACCACATTGGGGTGCACTGAAATCATGCAATATGTTTAATGAACATACGCGAGCTACACATTGTACTGAAAACGTTGAACAATGTTGAACATATTGGGGCTGATAATAGTATATACTCGGTTACTAGAATACTATATACAACTCTGAATTGTATGAAATATTGGGAAACCAAACAACAAACTGACAGGAGTTTTATGTATGGACAGTGAGTGCCACTCACAGGATCTTTGTCTGCATTTCTTGCTGCAAGGTGTTATTTCAGCTTTCTGTTTTTGTTGAACAGCAAGAGTTCATTAAAAAAAACACATCAAGCACATTCCAACTGTACCAGTTGGAAACAAACACACAAACTTTTTCCAATTTTGGCAGGATATCATGTCATCCTAGTGCTAATATTTGGTTCATATCCCAACGGCCTTTGGCCAGATCAGCTCCGCAGTCAACGACCACACAGTCCACCAGGGGCCTCTGGATCAAGATCCACAGCCATGGCAGGAAATGGGGGGCTCCATAGATTGGAAATCCCCAAAATGGTTGGTTTATAAATGGAAAATCCTCTCAAAATATGGATGATTTAGGGGTACCTCCATTTGAAGAAACTCCCAACTGATCCAACTGAAAAATCTGGGATTTGCCAACAAAGATTGTGAGACACACCAACAAGACTCGACCATTGTGAGAATTTAGCACCAATCATTCGCAGCCGGGCTGACTGCTGGAGTCACGAAGACACCATGTCTCTACAGTTGAGGATCCAAGCCACTCAATTTCCAAGTTAGATGTACCCCGAGGGATTCTCAATCAAACTCTGAATCAAATTCAATGTATGTATACAACTGATGATAAAATTATGTACTTGTATTTTCTATGATTTACGGTCGTCAGAAGATGTGACAAATAGAATGCCGGATGAATGTAAAACAAAATCAGATGAAATACTGTAGATGAAATGTGAGTTGGTGGGGATCACTCTATAAGTCATCCTTGACTTTGCCCTCACCTGCACTCTTCGTTCGTCTCCAGCTTCTCCAAATCGGCCAGCCTAGGTGGCACTAGGTGGCCATATCAATGCTATCAAGCCATGTTGAGTTTCACCAGCAAAGGAGGGAACCTCAACTTGCGACAAGAATTAAACCAACATAGATCTGGAAAAGCCACCATTTGTAGATCTTTTTCTAGGGGGAACCGTTGGTTTTCCACATCATCACATCTAATTATCTTAGTTTGACCCAGGGTATTATTGACCTTTGGGGAATCATCCTAGTGGTTGTCAATGAGGAATTTGTTGAATGGATACAACATGTTGATCCTAATGGATCACAATATATCCCGATGGTATCAGCCCTTTCATAGCTATCAATTTGAAGAGTCCCATTGCGTCCTGAGAGTTAGTGCATGGAGTAGCCATCTTTTGACCGCAGTCAAGCCTCACCTAAAGTGGACATGGACATCATATGATAGTATCACAATTTCCGCATCATCTTGCCATGTTTTGCCTGATTGTTGACCCCATAGCAAGATCTAAAGATCTAAACCAATCCACCTTCTGATTCACACATTCCGCTGAATTCGAACACGGTCAGGGGATTCCAGGGTCGACAGGCTCTATCCCCACCGAAAGTTTACCCCATGTTACACCACAATGATAGTGACTTCACTAAGGTGATACTTATCACCATCAACTCCCCTTAGGCTAAGTAAATTGTGAAAACCCTATTGTTGTTTGTATTTGAAATATACCCTGTGCAAATCAACCATGGTTTCCTGGATAATTATCCATTTATCTATTAAATATATATATATAATCTGATTGTATATAGATAAATGGATAATTATCCAGCAAACTATGCATTTATGGATAATCAAAATATCTATATAATATATCTAATAATACTAGATGCATTTAGTTCTGGAATTTCCAAGCTAGCAGCTAGCTATGTTTGACGAATCCGGATGATACACCTTCGGCTCAGTGGGGAGCTTCTGACGGCATTCCCAAGCTGAATTTTCGACCGCAAACGGGTTTGGTGATGCTTGGTGATGCTTGTGGGGATATACTTGAGGTGAACAACAAACTACTGCGCCACTATACCAATTTCAAAAAAAATAAACTAAATAATTCATAATGACAATAAGAAATTCCTACCGGATGTCCTCTCCTGAACGAGAGTTAAAGGATTAATGGGTTGGTACATGTATATATTGATGAATGCGTCATGATTCATCATCAAATGCATGTGATACGCATAAACAATTCAATGTCAAGGTCGTTTAAATTTTAACTGCGTTTTGAATCTGACACCGTACATCAAACATCAAGCATTCAACACAAACACATTATGTAAACACATATGAAAACATGTGAACATCAATAAACGCCAATAAACACCATATATTCCCATGGTAGCCTCATGTTCTACAGTAAAACATCTTTAAAACCATCGACCTCCTCGACCAGCAAGTGGCAGATCCATGCCGCTAAAGACTTCGCCGAAGACCACGTGTTTCCTGCCGTTTGGGACTGGTTTTTTGATGGCAAAAAAATTGGGGATTTATAATGGGAAGTTCCATGAAGTCTATGGGAAACCAAA